AAAGCAGTAGCAGCCTTCTTTGCCCCCCTTTCAGGGATCCTCTCTGCATTTTTCTACACAAGAGCCCCACCCTGAGCCACAAACAGTGTTTCTGATCTTCAGCCGAGCAGCCGAGGTGCAAGGGACGGTCGCGCCGATAGCGTCCGATGCGCCGGATATATCCACAGATCTTGCAAGCGGAACAAGCGATCCAGGACGTGCCCGTTTGGGACAGACAGTACCATTTTCGTGCCATATCTGCCTGTTTGAACTGGCCGATAGGATTAGCAAGTCTGCATGTCTTGGGTGGATCTTGAAGTCGTGCCAATGACTTGCTTATCCCTTACATTTGTTTCTGCTTCCTCTCGTGCCTGCAAGCCTGTTGAAGCCCAAAGCCTGGCCTGGTCGAGAACACGCAGGAGGTTTTCCGGCAATAAGTTGAACTTACAATCTCCCAGGATCCTCCTCTCGTTTCGATGTGTGAGTTCACATCCCCCGAAACGATGTGCATCCTGAAGGAGCTGCACTCGGAGCTTTCGCAGAACGAAGTCACCTCACGGGACCGCCAAGTTGTCAGCGGGGCTCCAGCTGCCGGGATGTCACGAAAGCAGAGCATAAGCGTGCCCTCAATCGATGATTTTGTGTCCGATGTCACTGCCTCACTGCATGCGTGAATGTGCCTTTCTTTGTGTCTATCTATCTATCCATCTATCTATCTGCAACATGGGAGACACGGACGTGGCTAGTGCAGGCCTTGGTGCTTGAAGCACACGGCTTGTAGACTGAAGGCGAGCAAGAACTGGCAAGTTGGAATTGAACTGTTGAATCCTGACGAAGGGCCGGCCTATGTCTATGATAGCATTGCTAACTTGCCCCGTCATCGCACACTGTATTGTAGTAGGCCACAGAGTTCAGCACCGCTTCTGGCCACTGGTCCGGCGGACCTGATACACCCCCTCAGACCAAAGCCTGACAAAGGAGAGGAAGGAGGGTGGAAGGAAGGAACGAAGGAACGAAGCAATTAAGCAAGCAATAAGAGAGAGAGAGAGAGAGAGAGAGAGAGAGAGAGAGAGAGAGAGAGAGAGAGAGAGGGAGGGAGATGCTGAACGGCTCTTTCCCTGAAAGGGCCAGCACGTGGAGCTCAATGATGCCAGCCACGAGATTCAGTCACTCCGGACACGCTGCAGAAGTTGATGCTGACATCAAGACGTTCAGGGTAATTGTCACGTCTTTTCACTGGCAACTGAGTGTGCATAGGATGTTTGTAACTTAAGACTTCCAGGAGACTTAACTACTTGTACCAAAGATGGGTGTGAAGAGCCAGATGCTGAGGCATGGGGCACCATTCAGATGATGACTGGCATCGGACATGCCAGTGGGTTTTCGTGGAGAGTCAATCAAGAAAGCCACAAAGGCATATGTACGTGCACGATCGACGCAAATCATCATGTGCCCCACTGTGCCCCTGCATGCTTCCCACTAGTATCCTACTTTGCACCACAAACCCAGACCTGTGCCTGACGCTCAACCCCCGCCACATGCCTTGAGCCTGTCAGGAACTCTCTTGGAGCTGTCGAGCAGCAGAAGCTGGTACGCCGGCAATCGATCTCAGCATCCAGGCCCGGACTTTGTCATGGGACAGCCTTCGGTGCGGGAGTGAGAAAGACGTCGGGCAATGTTTCCTTGCACTGGCGTGGGTCGGCATGAGCCCGCCGTCGGACCAACGAAACATTGTCAATTGGCATCGCCGATGCTGTGTGAACGGTTGCGATCACGACATGTCAAGGGGTGTGTGCAACATGGGGTCAAGATTTGCAGCAAAGGCTCGTTCCATATGTCGCATCCACAAATCGCTTTTCCGGAGTACGAGGACTGTGCCTCTGATATATGTTGTCTTAGTTTCCACTTGGCTAGCCGTGACGATGACCAAGAAGATTATCATGGCTCTCTCTGTTGCAGCACCCCATTGCTGCGCGAGCGCTGCTGCGGTCAGTACCACCCCTGCTTCCCCCCAAAATCCCTCCTCGGAGACATAGTTTAAACATTTTTAAAAATTACGAATACAAGGCAAATCTGTGCCTCCTGACGCCTGGAATCAACTCCTGGAATCAACTTTGCCCTTGAAGTCTTAGGGACTGCGCATGTCAGCTCATGCTGCAGCGATTCTGGTCGCAGGCACAAGACCCATGAGCTTCAAGAAGCTTGGTGGCACTTAAGGCTGATTCTACATCGTCAGGCTGCCCTCCACTTGCCTTCGTGTAAAGCCTGCATGGCGATAATGATAGTAGGCAGTGTTGCCTCGGCTGAATTCTGCAAACCATTTGAAGTTGAAAGCCATATCCGACATTCAACATTCGTGAACTCGCCCATGTCCCGAATCCTGACCCTGCCAAATGCATTCGTTTTCAACACTCCCCGTTTCCTACCTTCCTCCGCGGGTCCCTTGTTGGTGAGGGTTTATGGCTCACGGTCGAGAGATTGTGTTTGTGCCGGGTTGGCTCACTGATTTGTCGTGGCGTATGGCGACTGCCTGATAGAGTCTCGCATGACTATAGCCCATGCTATAATTCTAGATCATTGAGCCAATCCGCAGCTAGTCCAGATTAGTGAGTAGACCCTCAATCCAATTCAATAGAAAGCAGAAAGCACCGCGGAGATAGGGAAGATGGACTGCCAAAATACCGACATGTGCTGCGCACTATGTGCCGGGGTAGGGCATGAGAACAAGAATAGGACTTGCTTACCCAATTACTGTTCTTGGGAGTGAGCAAGGAAAGCACTAATTACATGCTTCAAGGATATGGCCAGGCTAATTTGCATTTGTGGTGTGGCAGATGAAGCTTCCATGCTTCTGACTTAGACCTTTGCGTTAGTCCGATCGATATAATCGCATTGGCATGCGGAAGGTCCGGCCTGGCACAGGCAAAAGAAGAATCAGCCTGAGATCACTATGAACAAGCATGATGAACTATCCGGCCGACAGTAAGCACTAGCAAAAGAACCATTGAAGACGCACAGCTCCACGGTTCACGACAACAGTGTCGCCCATAGATGACAGGAAGCGATTGCGACCTCGAGCCGCGAGGAGGAGAGTCTCGCTGCTGAGCTTCAAGCGCCCTGGGCCTGTTGCACTTTTGGTTGCTGCTTCGTGAAAATTTTGCGGTCGTTCGACTGCGTTAGTTTGCGGTTTGTTTGGGTTTCCAAACTCTTGACCTTGAGCGTGCTAGGTCCAGGTCCTTTTATGTCTCGTTTGAGTGCAGTGGCTCAGTGGGTTGGCAACTCTACCGTGTCAATGCGGGATAACTGTAAGCAGGTCAAGTCTCTTTGTTGGCACAAGATCTGTATATAAGCCTAATCTGATTGAATTTTTTCTCCCAACAAAGTGGACCGGCAGCTCTACCTCCTGTATCTGCTCAGTAGTTGTAGCTCAGGGAGTAAATGTGCTCGGAAGCAACAAAACTCTGTAGCAGCAGCACGCTGCAAATCGAAGGCTTGGAACACCAGAAGCTGAACAGCCCCATGTAGGCGACGTAATTCCGTCTTGCTTCCCAGCAGCATCGAGCTCTGCAAGTGCCTTTGAAGAAACTTGCAAATCCATGTTCTTGCCAGTTGGACCACAACAAGCACCGGAAAGCATCTTGTCCGGCCGCCGCAGAGTAAAGTGCACCAGCCTCAAATCAAATGCCCGCGCCAGGTTTATTTGGAGGAAGTCGTCCGTGACGCTTGGCACGACGATTATTTTAGGGCTGTCAAGAGCTACAGAGCAACCTCGATTTCCCCGGGCTGGTTTGGCAGAGAGCTCCCTTCCCTATAGGCTATGGACGATTGCTCATCTTTTGACCTGTCCACCGTGGTTGAGACCGAGGCATGAGGATTTAGTCATGGACTGACCCAGCTTGAAACAACAATTTATGTGTTTAGCTCTTCGGCGCAAGGCAAGCTGTGTTCCGTCAAGTCTCCAACTCATGGAGTTTGCACTAGACTAGACGCGCCGGGGTGAAAATCCGGGTGATTTCTGAATGAATATGAACATTAGTTACTTGCAAGCGGTCAAACTCCCACGTTGCGAGTTGGCCTCGGGTACTTGTCCGGATGTTGGTCCGTCGCCGCGGTTTGCGCACCGCAGCCTTGGAACTTTTTCTTCGGGGGCTTACCTCGGAGCTCAGGAAAGCGCGTTGCTGGAGGAGGCGGCTGCAAAGAGGACTGCCGTTCTCACACAGGCAGCATGCCTCAAGCACTGCAACTCCTGAGATTCTTTGGCTTTCTTTCTTGTTTCCGGGACTGTCGTTGGTAGTGTTGCAGTGTTGCATCTCTGAAATTACTCTTGTTGATAATCGTGCGAATGTACCGGCCATCACGAACGCCACCAGTGTCTCTTAGAATTGTAAAGTACAACAACAGAAGGACTGATGGTAGTGATGATGATGGTGATGATGATGATGATGAGCATGACCATGCCGATGACGTTGTGATTTAATGTGGCATCGCTGCCTGGTACTGCTTGTGCGACCATCTACTCCCTCACCGTTTCCAGCCTCAACAGCACAACCACCAGCATCGAAGTCGGTCTGGTTACATTCTTGCGCTGGAAGTCGTGTGTGCCGCTAAATATGCAAGTGTCGATCAGAGACTGCATGAAGACCTGGACCGAAACGCCGCATTCAGATGAAGTCATCCGACCTTTCTCTCGCCTCGTCAACGAAGGTCGTGAGCAAGGCTGTGGCCTGCTTTTTATGTGGATGTGTATCTGTGTCTTCTAGTCATATCTGCTGGTCCGCCTTCCTTGCATGTGACAGCGATGGTGGCCCGGTTTGAAGACAGGAGTTGCAGAAATCAATGAAGCTGATTCCGCGCAAAACATCAAGGTTAGAAGGCTGATGACAGCCATGTCCGAATTCCAGTACGCCCTAGGTTCTGCAATGTCTGTACTAAGCTTCTTGCAGACCTGCTGTCCCCCGTCCAACCCAGCTCCCCAGGTGCATCACACAGAGCAGAGCACGCAAGACAGTGCCAACTCGGGCATGGATGCACAGGAGCGATCTCCGATTTTGGTAGCGGTGGTGGTAGAGTCGGCAGATACATGAGCGTGTCTGGATATTGAGGGCTAGCACTGGTTGAAGGTATTTCGTGCGATGCTGTACTTGATGTTTCCAGACGGCGACTTCCAACTCGCTCTTGACGTGATCCCACAAGTGAGCAGCATTTTGCCGCAGCAGTGGCAGGCTTCTACAAGACTTTTGGTAGTTGATGCAGCCTGCCTTAGAGATACGCGCCGCATGTGCCAGTTCATGAATGTGAAATGAAAGACATAGGCAAGGCATACCGGATTCGATCCAGGAGAGCTGCTCGGGAGTCCAATACGCGCTGAAGAAAGCCGCTCGCGAGGCAGACAACTTGCAGAATGACGCCTGGCCCGTTTCATGTAGGTATATGTAATTCCTTTGCAATCCTCTGGGAAAGTCCGAAAGCTGCGTCGATGGTCCTTCATCTTACGTTACCCGCCCGGCCAGTTCTTGCGTTACTTCATTTCGGTCGGAAGGACCCTCCCGACTCCCTAATTGAGTTGCAGAGGCCTAGCATGCCTTGCTTGGCAGGTGGAGACTGCTTGGCAGGCTGTTTGGTAGCCCTGAGGTTTTGGACCATCCGGAGGGAAGCCCTAAAAAAGCCGTGTCGATGGGTTTAAGGTTGGCTCTTCAGCTGCCCCGTCGGCATATCTTCTGTTGCTTGAACCCAGTTTTCGTGAGCCCTGCCTTGCTTTTGCAAGTTGCGAGAGCCACGAGAAAGCCGTGACGGTGGACAAAAACACGTCTGGACTACCTAAGACGAAAATGCAACGTTTCCGAGCCAACCTAATTCAAGCTACCAGGGACCCCAAGCAATGCTTGAGCAGAGGAGTTGGCCAGCGCCAACTACCACAGCACACGGTGACCTATCTGAGTTCATCTTGGCTTAGGCTTCAGGGTCACGTGTTTGGACAAGAGGTGCTAGTTTTAAGCAGGCACGAGAGTCCTGGCTTCCCACAGGCGCGCGAAGAGTCGTCCTGAATCATATATCATCATCTACGGCGCGTGAGCCTCCAATCCGGAAGGGCGCATGGACTTTCGCTCGGACCAGCTGTTAAGATCCCATCATTGTTCCCGCAACTAGTTTCCCGACACATGGGGCACATCGAGAGATTCGCCCAGGCTTTGTAGAAGTGAGAGTGTCAGTAGTCGATGAAGATGATGAAGACGGTGAAGACCATTGTTGGCGGAGCCGATGGGCCTTGTGTACGTATCGGTTTACTTGCTTCAGCCTTAGAGCTGCTGAAACGAAGCCCCATAGATGTTTCAAGACATCAAGCATTTGCCGTTCGGCATCGTTCAGCTGAATCTTCCAAAATCTTCTTGTGCTCGTCGTCTCGGTCTTTACCACCACCGCCACCACCAGCACCATCATCAACATCATCATGATCTTCATCAGCAGCGTCACCATCATCATCCCGGTCTTGTGTTTGCAATACTATAGGGCCATTGCAGCAGTCATGACCAGAAGCAGCAACGCAAAACTGGTAACGCTGATTGTTGCTGGTTACTGGAGTGACAACCGGTGCATGATGCTGTATGTTTGAAAGTTGCAGTCGCGACTAATTAGTAGTTTTACGGTCCTATCGGTCAGTGGCACAGCTTTGTCTGCGGCTGCTCTCAAGTAGCCGCTGCCATTGCTGCTGCTGCAAGTGGTGCCACTACTGCTGCTAATTGCTGCTACTCGGAATACTACTGTCGTTGCGGTCACAACAGCAACACCAACTACGACGACGACTACTACCACTGAAAAACTCCTGCTGGCGCTTGTTCGAGTGGTACTAGCGTAGCTCTGGACTGCCGCCCTATGATTCTACAGGCTTTTGACGCTTGCTACTACGGCAGAATTAATCTTAACACATCGTCTGTTCTCGGACCCAGGCAGCGCCGCTTCATGGCCGAGGAGGAGACCGAAGCCTCCTGGCAATACGAGAACACCTGTGAGGCCGATAACGCTTGCTTTGCCAATTGGGTGCTATCTGCTTCCGATTGACTTAATCCTGTAGCAATTTGCATCATTGCCTCTTGATGCCTCTTGTCGTTTCCTGGTTTTGATGGTTTGCGCTTTCGAGTTTGGAGCAGAAAACAGGGGCCTGCGTGGGACATGAAGGTTCTGCTGTCTTGAATTCCGGAGAGGCGCGCCATCTTGCAAATATGAGCTACACTTTCCGTCGTTTCCTTTTGTAAGGACAAGCCTATTCAGGGCAGATCGCGTGTGCAGGTTTAGGTATGAAAAGTCGAATTCCGGAAGTGGCCCGGTGAGGACTTCCCCTCAAGCTGTCGGGTGCTCTAAGTGGCCACAGCCGCCGCAAGTTGTCGGTAGCGTGTAGTTGCGTTTTCATGCTTGTCCAGGCATTTCAATGTACACAGGCTAACCCAGGAAGGCGTATGAAAGTGTTGTGAATCCCAACCATAGTTGATCAGCAGAGAGGTGGATGCCTGCTTGTGAGGCATGCCAGGAAGTCCTCGCCGTTTCAACCGTAGCTATTACGCAAGTTTGAGACTCAAGGTGCGACAAGTCTTACCTTGCTATCACTAGAGAGCGGGCGTCACTATGCAAAGCGACTATCTAGTCCTCGCGTGTAAGTTGCTGGAGCATCACTGCGCACTTCTCCCGCAAATATGTGTGTACAGTAGTTGTCCTGTTTGTCGGAAGGCAAAGGATTCCAACTCGGAAAGCCGACAGTGTGTGGCTTGTCATGCATCTTATGTCGTGAGTGACGGACTGATTTTTACCCACGCCGAGACAGTTGAGTTTCAGGTGAAACGAAACCACAGCATCGCTAAAGCTCAGGTGGATGCTCTCGAAGAGGAGCGCCGGCGACTCGTCTTGCGGCTTCAAGAATTGGAAGATGCCGAAAGGGAGGGCGACGACCTGGAGGTGAAGCTTGGTCAAGCACGAGACGAGGGTGCCTTTCTGAAGACGGCACTCGGCGACCTCTATCAGCTTGTGGCGGATCGGAACGCTGTCCTGGAGACGGTGTGTAGCGAACACAGCGCGTTGCGAAGTACGCTCGAGGAATCGCAGCAGCAAGCACGCCTGGCTCAGGATGAGGCGAACGAGCTAGCTCGTGAGAGGGACGAGACGCATTCGCGGTGCCGTCAAGAGCACGAAGAACTGCAGAATGCAGAAGTCCGGATGCGTGATGCAGAAGGAGCCATGGAGAGGGAGCACCAGGACACGGAGTCCAAAGTAGTCGAGGCAAGCAGACATCGTGACACTGCACATGAGCTGGTTACGAAGCTTAACGACAACATCACCGCTAATTTGCAGCAGCGCTTGAAGGGCCTGGAAGACGAAAACAAGCATCTGCAGGGCAAAATCTCCTTCCTCGAGGGAGACTGTGACAAGATCTCTGCCGAGAACACGGAAATGGAACAGACCATTGAGGAAGTCAAGAAGAAGCCCAATTGTGTGATATCTTGAGGTAATTCCGGATTCCGGGGAGATGCACTGGATCGGGTTGTGCAAAAGGCACATCCCTTTCTTCAGGTGGAGCGTATGCTAGTTGAAAGGTGGAGGGCCTGGGCAAAATGTCTCTTCAATGCTCTGGGGTGTATAAAATCCGGGTGCTGAGACCAGCTCTATGCGAGCCGAAGCTGCTAGCCATCGCATCTATTTCGTATTGTTGACATCACTTAGTTACCTTTCGAATTTATGATGCATATGGTGCCTGGTCCAAACTTGCTCGAGTCAGTCGATGAACTCGCTTCCGCATGTGCATGTCAAAAAAACAAAGTGTCAGGCGGGATGTACAGCAACCAACAATGTGCCATGTACAATGAAGCAACTATGCGGAGAGCTCGTCACTAGTGCTGAGACGCAATCCCTGCAGTTCCGTATGCAACCTAGCGCCTTAGCTATGCCTGCTATTCTGGCTCTTGCCTGAGCCTGCTCATTACACAAGGTGTTACTCTACTTCTGCTGAAAGCTTTCGTTTTCAAACTGGCAGATTGTATATGTCAGTATGTTCTTCAAGCGTACCCTTCAGAGCTCCATAAGTCCCCTGCAGGTTCAAGTCTGAAGCCCCATACAGTGATTCGATCCAAGTATATGCCTGAGATAATTCTAGGCTTCATGCTGTCCGTTTGATTTTAACAGTTGGAGTAGAGTGTTAAGTTCAGATTGCACACACATCACATCTGCTTCCTTTGAAGGTACTGTAGTACTCGTATTTGCTACTGCCAGTGTGACTACCAGAAATTACCATTCTACCTTGGCCCTCGGTTTAGCCTCATGAAAATCGTGAGGGAGCGAGCTTTGCTGATGGGAGAATGCAAAAAGCTGCTTTTGATTAGTGTGCGGGAAGGGATCGCAGGTTGATGCATGGATCTACGAGCACCTGCCAGGGTGCATTTTTGTGTTTTCGAATCTGTGTGTGTGTGAGTTTGTGGGTGCGGTAGTGTTTGTGCCGGCGCTTGTACATGAACTTGAATCTGTGGTTGTGTGCGCACAGAGTAGCCGAAGAGCCATTGGCATGAAGAGCACCGTGCACATGTCGCAATGTACGATAAGCTGCAGCAAATATATAACTACACACATATATATATATATATAGATAGGATGCGTTCGTGCCTATGCATTGCGACGAGTTTTTGTACATGCACACCTGTCATGCGCATGTATGTTTGTATGTCCGTGTATGTATGCCTGTCTGTCTGTCTGTTTGCCTGCCTGCGTGCCTGTGTATGTATGTACGTATGTATGTATGTAATTATGTGTGTATGCGTGCATGTGTGTGCGTATGTGCGTGTATGTGTTTGTCTGCCTGTCTGTCTGTATGCATGTATGTACGTATGCACTTGTATGGCAGTGTATAGCAGCTGTATCCCCATATGTATGCCATGCATGCGGCATGTCTGCCTCTGTGCATGGGCTGTACGTATTGACCTTTGCATGTTCGCATGTATTCATGCACGCATGCATGCATGCATGCGTGTGCCTACGTACGTGTGTGTATGTGCAGGTATGTATATTCGTTTGTACGAACGTAATTATGTCTTGATAGTTGAGCTTTGCTTGAATGTATGTCTGACTGTAATTTCAAATATATAGATGTATATGTATGTATGCATGCCGGCATGCATGTATGTGTATTATACATACATAGATGTGTGTATATATACATACATACATACATACATACATATGTGGATAGGTCGGCAGCGGTGGGTGGCCAGCTAGGCTGAGCAGATAGACATAGAGTGACATAGAGCATCATAGAGCGGCATGGAAAATATAGGTGAGTATTGTAGTTTGAGTTAGGCAGTCAGGCAGGCAGGCAACCAGTATGTAGACAAGGCCGTCATGGGCTCGTGCAAGCGAGTTGGCTGGACTGAAAGTAAAATCGAGCTGGACAGATGGCTAGCCTCTTGCATGGAGGTACCGTGAAGAACGGAACGGACTGCGTGAACGTGACAGGAAGATGTGAGAGCATTTTTGTGCGAGTACACCATATACGTAAATACATAGGACATGTTGATTGAAGGAACACCTGAATGCTTGCAAGGACAGAGTTAGGGCAGACCACATCTGCATGGTGCATGCGGGAAATTCCAGGCAGTGAGGACATTGATATCATAAAGAACTGGGTATCAGAGTATGAGTACACTTACGCACGCCACCCTGGCTTCTGGTGCTGCACGTTCCGGGTTGGCGTCCGTCTTGACAGTTGATATGCAGTTGTCCAAAGGCCCAGCGAAAGCATTGAACCCTGCATGGCTGCGGGGTTGAGGGGAGGATTGTCTGAGCTCTGATCACTGCGAGCGCTGATACCGGCACTTGCCTGTCAGCTGCGCAACCTGCTTAAGATGCCTCGCAGGCTGCGCACTGCGGGAGCGCGACGCCACGCCGGCGGCAAGCTTACAGAGCGCAACCGCTCCATTTTGATCTGTACACACACACAATCACACTTGGCACTTAACCGTTGCTGCATCTGCATGTAGCCAAGTACTGTACATATCCGCTCAACTCCACAGGGCTTCAGATGCAAAAAGACACCCGTGTGGTATGACGGATTCTAAGCGTTATCTAAAATCAGCCTTCCGGCCCCTACCAAGGGCAGCGGAGTCAGCAAAGGCCAACACGAAACTGCAACCCCCATGATATGATTCAGCTCAAACCCTGATTCCGAACACGCCGACCCTATGCAAAAGCGAAGCATTTGCTCAGCACTCTCTAGAGCTGCAGTCGGGGCCGAGGGTGTTTGCCGAAGAGCTTGGTGCATGAGGTTGCTCATTCAGTACCGGCGACTGATGGCCAACTATGTATATATCCCGTTTGAAGCCCAACCGGAAGACATGAAACTGGCTGGAAAATGGTATTGCTGGTGAGGGCCTTTCGGGGTGGCTTTCAGAGACTTGATGCCCGGGTGCTTCAACCCTCAAGCCATAGCTTGGGTTTGAGCCGGGACCCAATGCAGGTCACAGAACTTAGTCACTAGTCTCGACATACTCGCTGAATGTGCAGCTAGTGACCCAGAGTCTGCAAGAGAGCAGAGAGAGAGAGAGAGAATGTCTATACAAGCTTAACATAACTTGAGTGCGGGAGAGGATTTAAGAAGGCTTGTTCAGCTCGTAGATCAGGCGAGATGTTTTTCACATCTCCTACGGGGCCAAGGTTCGAGGTAAGCTTGGAGTAGTGGAAAGTACAGAGATGGAACTTTGCAGGCATCCTGCGACTCTATTTACTCTGGCGGACTGCTTGAAAGCCCGGCTCCTTGCAACTACGGAGACTGAAAGTCCAGCCAAAGCAAATAAGTGTACGCCTGCTCGACACCCGCCGTGTAGTTGCAACGAAAGGGCACCCAAATCACTCAGACAATGACGTAATGTGAGCCCAGAGCCTGTGCAAACGCACTTTATTCCGATTCCCAACACGGTGCCCCATAGCTGACTGAAGCCATGGCGGTGAGTGCGAGCGGTGGGGCAGGTGGGGGGAGGGTATTCGGATGTTTCAGGTCTGGGAGTTCTGTGTATGTTCGAAGGCCGGGAGACAGGAGGCGTAGCTCGGTATAATTACCAATACTATTTTGGGGCTTCCTCATTATAAGTATAGTATAATATACCCCAGTAGGGTAGGTGACGAGCACTCGCCATCACCTGAACCTCGGTCTAGGAGCCAGTCGTGCGCAACTGACCTTGAGACAGTCAGGAGCAAGCAGGGTTTAGGGTTTAAGTTCACCTGCGATTGCATCGGTTGAGATAAGTGGGAGCCAGAAGTTGAGAGAAGTAAATCCGCTGCCAGGTCCAACATAGAACATACAGAATCAAGTACAAATGCTTTGTTGTGGCCCTGACGTGACGGACCAACCAACACCGGCTTTCGCGGTCATACTCCCCAAGGCAGCCAAAAAAACACAACCAGATGTCGCAGACCTGAAGAAGATGATATACACTGTCATGAGCGTTTGTTTAACCTGGTTTAGGCCAGATCGTCGCTCGGCTCCGTCGAAACACTCCTGTCCGTCATGCCACGCAAAAACAAAGAATTGTAATCAGGCTTGCGTCTCGGCCATGCCAGTAACCCGTTCTTCGGCGTGTTTGTAAGTTCTCTTCTGTTTAGGCAGCTCCTGTTCTTGCTTTGGATGTTTGGCTTTGGAAGAAAGCTTGCCACGCAAATCTTTCCAAAAAGATGCTGGGCACTGATATTTAGCGAATGGTGCAGAGCAGGTGCAAAGCTCTTCCAAACCCTGAAGCGAGAGGTGAGGGCTTCATGCCCATACATCACTTCACTGACCTCCAACCCGAGCCGCAATCTGCGCTTCTGGGCGGGGCCGCAGCGGTGTTGGGAGTGAAGGTGTTGATATGGGATCCACAGTGAAGGATTCCAGCTTGAAAGAGCTCTTGAGCCACGACGGTTTCATGAGGCTTACATTGGGTTCTGCATACTACAGGCATATCTCCAGCACCTGCAGCAAGATGCGATAATATCGGCAGGCTTGGAGCATAAATGACTTTATGTGAGGGAGCAGGGCAGTCGCAAAAGAAAGGGCATGCAAGGAGCTTGTCCTAATTGCTTTTCGTGCAAGACTTCCATGCTGCCAGAAGTTTCTCGCGGAGAATGCGTGTATGACCTACGTCTGGCCCGATGTGGATTCATTGTTGGAGCAGCAGTGGTTCCACTCGGTGGTAAAGGACCCTAAAATAGCAAGCCAGAAGCTTTCCCTCACTGCGGAGTCCGAGCGCTCACGAGCTACATTGCTACATGGGGAATTGCCTCTCCCTCGGCATCTCTAATTTCCAGTCCAATTTGTTTCGCATGACCAGCCCTGCAAGATTTGCGTTGTGTCTATCCGTCTATCTTATGCAACAACCCTAGACCCTTGTACTCAGCCATGCAGGACGCAAAAAACCCAGAGCCCTGTTTGCTTGCTTTGTTTTGTCGCGGTTGTAGGGTCCAAGATTGAAGAGCACGGTCAGGCCAGGGTTTCATCGCGCCCGAGTTCAGCACGCGGGGAGCTCGAATTTTTGAAGCTGCCCTCGGTCCCGTGAACTTAGGCCAATAGGGCTTGTCTTCGAGCTTCCGTACTCGTTCTGCGCCTCCTCCTGCTTCCTACTACTGCTGCTGCTGGCAATAATTACTTTGGATAGCCCTAGTTTGCAATCGAAGCAACATGCTCGACGGACAGACATGCGGCATGTTACAGAACAGTGATAACAACATTCGTTCCAGTGTAATTAGACGGGGCAAGGAGAAGCTATCCTCAAACTTGTGTTCTTCGACACTTTGGGGGCACACCCTGAGACCACAGGGGTGACATCCGTGCACTGCTGGCGAGACTTGTGAAGCAGGCGCCGGCACCTCCCACCGGCTGGGGGTTGTGGGTTTGGAGTCAGCTGCGGTTGTTGACAGGATGTTTGTGACTACTGGCAGAGGTCTCACGTCTGAGCCGTCAAACTACCAAAAGCTTACCTTATTGCCGCGTGCCATGTTCGGCTTTTCAGGAGCACTGTAGTGTAATAAGCATCGGTGTTGCCGTTGTTTGCTGGAGTGACGTCCCAGCAATAACCTCAGCCAAATCCCAAACTGTGCAGCACCAGAAGCCCTGAACACCTCGGCACAGACGGAGTCAATGGAGAAGGCCGCAAACCACGGAGAGCAGGCTGGTACATATCTCTATCATATCTGTCGTTTTCGACCTTGGTTTTTGATCGAGTTGTCTGACCCAAGGCGAGTCTCCTCCCATGGAGGATGTTCCTACCTTCCAGGCAGTTCAATGGCGATCTTTCCTTTGCCCAGGCCCTTGTTGCAGCCGGCAGTGCTGCGGAACAGGCTGAGATGGGGGAGAAGTGGGATAATTATTACGTATGTTCCAAGATACATATAACATGTGTATGGATGTACATAGTCTCTCTTTCTCTCTGTATACATACATGTGCAGCATGCTGGCACATACGTATGCGCATGTCTGAATGCCATGAACGTATGCATGCATGTGCCCATGCGCAACCCTTCCTCGCAGGCAGCTCGCCATGCAGACCGTGCCGAAAGGCTGCCAGCAGCGGCAAAGAGCTCAGAGAGCTTGGGCTTTGAGGGCTTTTCCGCTCCGCACTAACAAGCCGTTGGTTTTAAGTGGTAGGTTTTGGTGGAAGGCTGAGCAAGCTCTCAGGGGTTTGGTGTTTGAGCCTTTCGGAGTTTTCGCCCTGTGGGGCAAGGCAAGGGCCAGAGTGTATGGCACTCCACAGTTGGCGTTTTGACAAGCTTCTGCTAGCCACCTCAGAGACGGGTCCAGGCTTCCAGCAGGTGCCTTTTCCAGACCAGTGGCCGTGAATCGTGAATGCTTGCTTGCGACAGTTAATACCCCAATATTGAACTAGGGAACTACGGTCCAACTATCCGTGTGGTGACTTCGTTGCCCACTGCAGAGGCGAGGCCACAACTCTTCATGTCGTGTGAACACCCTATACTTGAAAGGAATCGCTGTGACCAAAGACGGCTTCGACCCATCGTCAGAAGCCTTATCCGGTCTGCGAAGCTCTGATTCGAAAGCCTACTTTGGCACAGGAGCCCGGCACGGAGGCGATGGGCGAGTTCGAAGGCTTTCTGCCGCCGAGGCGGTGTTCCAGGGAACTCTTTTCAGATAGGCGATGGTTGATGGTTTCATCAGTTTTGGTGTATCCTGACGAAGGCAGTAGTGGTCGAGGAACTATCACGATGCCTAGTAAAGCTAATCGCGACGCTCTGAAGGTCCAATGATCCGCAGTGAGACTTATAAGAAAATGGTGTTCTCCACTAACTTCGGCCGCAAACGTGTGAAGACCCAAGTACCTCGAATATACTACTCGTACGAAGGATCGCGCAGGCAGGACCCATCAACTCTTGCGGCAACTTTTCCTATGAAGTTTCGATCGCCAAGGGAGGCTTTAACTTGAAACAAGGCTGTTTGAGCCTGGCCGAGGTGGTGGATCACCTATGGCCGGAAAGCCATGGGAAGCTGCCATGCACTGCTTCCGATGGCTTGTGCCACTCGGCTATAAGTCGGTACCAGGATTGTGTCGTCTGCTTAAGCTCCTCCGGATGTGACTGTCATTGCCGCGCTTGCCGTCGCTACACGTAAGGGTGCTGCATCAGTTTGACGTAGCTCTTGCTGGTGCCGCAAGGCGTGTGCTCGCCATTTCTGTTGCAGCGCACCTTCCTGAATAATGTAGGCATAACAGCGGCACAGCAAGGAAGCAAGCTGTTTCGTCGGCTGCCATATCAGGTCCAAGAAAGCCCTACTTTGAGAGGGCTGTGTTCATCCAGAAGCCGAAGGAGCTGCATCATATCTTGGGGCATGGTAAATCAGGTCTACCGTCGAAAGCAAGCCCGTCCGGAGATGCCCAGACTTGTGTTGCTCAATGGGCCCCCAGGCAAGTTCACAAAATCTTTTTTGCCCTTCCCCCAGGCAGGTCCCCTTCCCAGCCACGCATGCCAAACTCAAGACTACTGTATGATCGAGTCAATATGTCTCGAACGTAGCATGGAGGCTTGCATGCAGCATGCCAGAGTCCCAAGCCCTGGGGTCTCAACGCTTGTCGAGCTAATAAACCCCTTGAAGTTGTAATAAAACCTGCTCTTCGAGGAGAGGCGCTTCCGAATTTGGCCAGATTCCCAGACATTAGTGGGAAGTGCTCCAGGCATACCATGAGCCGCCCCCAAATTGCCCTGAATTATTAAACACTTCAAAGGCTATGAGTGAAGGAGGATCTTATCTGGGGGCTTAGAAAAAGACGTGCAGGTTACGACTTACGAGAGGCATTGAAGACTTTGTCGGCCTGTTCACGCGTCTCTGTACTGTGTAGTCCCTGTCTCCCAGTTGCCGCCTGGACACATAGCTTCGCGTCTCAGGCAG